AAAAAAAAAAAAAAAAAAATTGTTTTGATTTTTCAGTCTCTACTTCCTATCTTGATTCTGGAATTTTACCGCCTGTAGTAATCGAAAGTGACTGTGGTTTGCTAATTTGTACATTTCCTTGGTAAAACACTCCACTCGTTTTCTATTTCCGGGCATTCATGATAATTTTGTATAGCTGCAAGTATAACACTATTTAATGTTATTCCTTTATAGGAAATAAATGTGATTTACCTCTAGAAAATCAGTTCTTGCAAGTGATCAATGCTTATTTGAAGCCAAGATGCCATTCGGCAGACTCAGACATCGTGCACAGGTTCAAGTTTTATTGAAATATTTTCACAGGGGAATATTTATAAATTCATTTTCTTATTGTATTTTTATCATTACTTTTGTGATTTTTTTAAAACTAAATATTAGAACTTTATGATGTCATATGTTTATACAGGGTTCTTGCTCTATACCCTTTCAACCGTAGCCAATTGCATCAGATATGTACTCAATATTTCGACTGGCCTCCGGAAAAGACAGGTTGTCAAAAGAATCAAATAAGTTGTTAAAAAAAATTATATTGCTATTATATACCCTTCATTCTATTCCCAAATCATAACTATCTTTAGGGAAATGGAAATCTAGTGGGTTTCTGTTTCTAAAATATGGTATATTTTTGTTGGTTCTAGACGAGTACATTTTGCCGAAGATTGCAGAAAGAAACTTGAGGAGATTTGCTAATCTTCGTTCGAGTTCATCGAGATTGGGAGTCCATCTGCCTGTTAATGAGGTGTTTNTCAAAATCCAATTGTATTTACTTTTTACATATTTTAGGAGTAACTTTTCATGCCCATTAAAAGTTTTTTACAAAATTTTTTGCTTGTGGATTCAGATGCCAGTGAAGTGTCCTGTATCGAGCATTGTCAAGCAAAGGAAAGTCCAGGGAAGAGACTACTTTGAGGTTTCATGGGAAGAAATGGACGGCTTAGATGCATCCATTGTACCAGCTGATCTTGTTGAGAGGTATCATTTTACTTATTGACTTTTGTGACCCTTTTTTTTCCCCTTGATTTTTTGGATTCATTGAGGTTTGATTTCATCTCACTAAGTCGGGTTGATCAAATTTGTTGATGTAATAAATCTTTTGAAATTACAACCCTCGACTTCCAAAGATTATTTCCAAAATGGCCACAAATTATTATTATTCGGGTATTTGTAATATTTTGAATAAGTTTAGAGATACAACGGTGTTATCTTCAAAATTCCATGCATGTGTGTAACATTATTGTTCACTTTCTGCTTTGTTTCTTCTCAGCGCTTGCCCTGAAAAGATTAAGGAATTCCATGAAAGAAAAGCTCACAAACAAAAACCCACTAAAAACAAATCGAGAGCAGTTAAAGTAGAGAGTAAATCCGATACAGTTGATGTCCATAAAAAACTCCAGGAACTACTGCTCGACATTGAACGAGACAGCTGTACCATGAATAACGGCGCCACCTGTCACGTTGGCTTGGATTATCAGCAAAACTCGATTACGAGCCTTAATTATTCCGAGTCAAAAAGTGAACACTCTCTTAGTTTATCTTCTTCTAGTGGTTCAAGATCCATAGGGAAGGATATTATCGATCTCATTAGTCCACCGCCAAAACAAACTATTGCACGTGGGGTTTCTAATTTCCGAGAGATGGAATTTTCGGACGTGATTGAGTTGAGTGATACGGATAATGACGTGTCGCCTGAGCACGCGAGGAAGGCAAAGGAGCTGAGAATGTTCATAGCGAATATCAGAGATGAGATCTCTTGATTGATGATGATGAATTTTTTTATTCTGTAGTGTGTGCAAATCTGTTTGATTTTATTTTATCGTGTATTTCGTAGGATGGTGAAATTACAGTCGGCATAAAAGTCAGAGTAAATTGTGATCATGTTGTGTATTGTGTTATGCAGAGAAATATGTAGATGCAAATTGATGAATTACTGGATTTCGTATGGTAGATTTGAAATGTCTTTATGCAGAGGAAAAGAAATAGAATGCAATCTGATTCTTAAGGCCTTGTTTATAAAAAAAAACTACGAAAAAAATATATCTCAACTCTAACTTAACCCCATTATTAATATAATTAAATAATATTATTTAATCATTTTTACACATCACATCAACTTTAATTCACTATCCATCCATTCATATATTTTTTAACTACCTATCATTTCCAATCATTTATATCATATTTTTACATCAAATCAATTTTAATCATTTTATTTTAAATACTATTCTAACACATTCTTAAAATTCCACCAACAACTAATCATATTAACTTTTTTCAAATAAACTCTAGTTAACACAAAAACACCAGGAAAAACAAAAAAATCAGTTTTTTTTTTCCAGTTTTTTCATAAACAAGGACGGCCTAAATTTTCAATGAACATAAGATACAGAAACAAGAGGAACATAAAGAAAGCTGAGAGACAAAAGAACAAGAAACCTTAACTCATCTTTCCAAGCACTTGATGAAGAAAACTTCCTCGTTTAATAATCAAAAGAGTTTGTCAATTCAACATTCGAGAGCAAATTCCACTGATCTGTCAAAGAAAAAAATCAGAACCTCCCCAAAAGTTAGATTTCCGATACTGGGCCTCATTTGTTACTGGACTCGAGAAGAAGTACTGCCCAAACTCCGAACCAGTGTTGTAATCCGGATCACCCGGAAATCGAGACACCGTATTAGGAACCGAACTAGGAATTCTGTCGCAAAAATCATAATCCGACGAGTCATTGCCTGTCCCCTTATGCTCACTCGTGCTCGAGGACACAAAATAATACGGAGGAGGAACATTTAAAACCTCGGTTTTCGCCACATCAGCAGAGTAGCCCGCCGTAAAAGGAGCAGCACATAATGGAGGAGCTTGAGGAAGCATATAAGATTCCACTGCACCATTATAACTGCAAGATGCCTGAATTGCGGGCTGCGGGCCCGCTCTCAGCCCGGCCACTCTCACGACCAGAATTCTTCCTTCCATTTTGTGCCCGTTCATGTATCTAACGGCATCAGCAGCATCCGACGCGTTTTCGAATCTGACGAAACCGAATCCTTTGCTCAAACCAGTAGCTTCATGTTTCAGCACCCTCGCCCTCACAATACTCCCGAAGGGCAAAAAAATCTCCCTCAACCGTTTATCGCACACCGAAAACGGTAAAGACGAAATGTACAGATTCGTGGGGTCCACGTCTTTGTTCGATTTGTCCCTGCAGAACTGCGGCAATCCGTGGGCATCACAATTCGAAGTCGTGTGGGCAATACTCCCGCACAAGTCGCAACACGTGGCATTAAAGGTCGAGTCTTGATGCGGGCACGCGTATTTTTTATGCCCCGGTTCTTTGCAAAGTTCGCATGTGTTGTTGTCATCTTTATAATTCCCTCTCATTTTCGCGAGTAAAGACAGCTGAGCTTGTTTGTGGTGATTTTCCTTGTCTTGTACAGGAATAAGCAGTTTTTCGATCATGGCAACAGCAGAATCGAGTCTCTTCTTCTCAGCAGTCTCGACCAGGACATGCAGCTTTTCATCCTCTGAGTTTGGGTCACCCGAGCCTCGACCTCTTATGAAAATCCTTGCTCGGGTTTCGCTCTCCATTTTCTTCAGGGTGGTTCCTTTAGGGCCGAGAATTAAGCCGATGAAGTTATACTCGGGGTACTCTTCCTGTGGAATTAAGAGTTTCCTGACAAACTTCTTATCTGGATCATAATCAAGGGTCAGAATTTCCGCTAGTTTAGACAAAATGCTTTTCCTCTTGTCCAAGAGCTTCTTCTTGATCTCATCATGAAACTTACAACTCTGCAGCTTCTGGTTGATCTCCATTAGTTTCGTTCTCAAGTGTATGGTATTTGGGTCGACCGAGAGAACCAATGAGTTAAACAATCCATTTTGGGGACCTTGTTCATCCCACCTGGTTTGCCTTTTCTTACATGACTCATCCGATTGAGGATCTTCCCAACGGCTCTTCCGGCGCTTTCTAGAAGTTTCTCTATGCTTGTGTTGTTCGGATGCGCGCTCGTTTGTCACGAGCTCAATCTCTTTCCTACTTTCGTCAATCATGTCAATTGGATTGTCCAATTCCAGCTTCTGTTCATCAGTTTCCTCATTTTCATACTCTTCCGGATCTTCTTCTGGCTCCGAAAAGTTATCAGCTTCAACTTCCAACATTGTAGGTCTATTCAACATAAATGTAGTACAAAACCACTCAAGCAATACATTGCTTCAAACTGGTTCAAGTAGAAAGAGGGTGAAAAAATTTATCTGCGAACATCAAAGTTACTTTTCTAATAAATGCAAAAGCTAGGACATCCTCGACATAAATGTAGAACAAAACCACTCAATCAATATATGCTTCAAAGTGGTTCAAGTAGAAGGAGGATGAAAAAAAAAAATTATCCACGAACATCAAAGTTACTTTTACTAACAATTGAAAACCTAGGACATCTTCGACTGTATGAAATTATACACACATCGATGATTCGATATATGCACTTCTATTGATTGCCGAACATGAGTTAGAATTACCAGTCATCTTTTTCCTCTTAGCCCCAAAATGATGCATTCTACTACTCAGCCTATTTTCTTACCTTTTACCTTTTGGAATTCATCTGAAACCCAAATTGGAGTGACACTAGAAACCAAAATGTGATCCACCATAGACAATCTAGAAACTAATAGGTAACCCAAAATCAAAAGCATGCACTAAAAAAATAAAAATAAAAAATTACAGCTGAAATCAAAATAATCCCGATTCACGACAACAGCGTTACAACAGCAAAAGGATTTCCCTTTCCACCTTCGCTGCAAATGATCACGACGATACAAAAACCAAAATGATGCCAAACAAATGAAATCGATTCCCGATTTTCGAGGCCACATCACAATCAACCGCAAGGACGATATATTGAAAAAGCGAGTGTTTTTAGCTGTGATTGTGAGCTGGAAGTGTGTGAAAAAAAAGGAACGGAAATCACGACAAACCTGCGACAAGAAATGGGAGAACGATGATTTTGTCGGCCTTCAATGGCGGTAGGAGCTTGCTAGATGAAAGTCTGCAAGCGATTTCAATCACTATCTGTACTGCAATTTGGACTCGCCAAATTAGAAGGTACATAGAGGATGAATTTATCAATGACTCCCTCAGATAACAAGATTTTAACCCCTGAGAATTTCAGTTTGATAAATAAATTATGCCCAGTGCCTTTTAAAGCAAACTAGTACGTAACCCGTGCGATGCACGAGATGTAAAATTTGAAAGAATAATATAACCTCACGTGCAATAGGATCGAAATTGAAATCATTAAAATACATAGGAACGAATCATAAAAAGTTCGGTAACAATCATATATTATTAAAAACCTCATTGTACACAACATTATGAGTGTGATTATTTGGTAACTCCTTATTATCACAAACTAATATTTTCAAAAGAGACAAATCCTAAAAATCAAACTAATATTTTTGGTGAACAAACTAATATTTTAGGATTTCTAGGATTTGTCTCTTTTTGGTGAACAAACTAATATTTTAGGATTGGTTATATGAATAAGGCTACCTGTTTTTGGTGTTCTTTTCATTCATTTTCATTCAAACAATCTGATGACTTGTATAATGAAAGCCAAATCTTAAGCCGAAATATAAGAGTTTTTAAAAATTGAAAAGTCAAGGCAATCAGTTCAGATTAATTAAAAGTCAAAGAATATCCCCTCCTTGAAATAAAGAACGTGTGCTATCATTAACCAAATATCCGGTTATTGATATAGAGTGGTTACTAAAAAATAAAACGCGATAAGGACGCTTCATGGAAATATCAATGAGATAAGGTCATAACAGATCGCTATACATTTTAACGATAAAAGCTCAGATGAAATGATTTATGATAATTATGTCGTAATTAATACTCCCTCCTATTTTTAATAAATGTCGTTTTGAGAAGTTGCACAATAATTAAGAATATTTTTTTTGCCAATAATAACCCTCATTAATGAGGATAGAGATTAATGTTTTGAGAAAAGATAGAGAGTAAATATGAAAAGACGTAGTCTATTTATTAGTTACATGAGGGTAATAATGGAAAAATATGCACAAAATAGCCAAAACGACATTTATTTAACAAATGATTAATTAAGTTAGGATGACAAATAATAAAAATAGGAGGGAGTATTTTAATTATATGTGTGAAAATGACATAATTAATGAGAAGTGTGGAAAGGACAAAAATTTACCGATTTTTTGGAAAATATTTAATGCAAATCCGACATTAACCATAATTTGACCTACTATTTTGAATAAATGTTAATTCTTATTATTATATAAGTATAGATACTCCATAATATATCTCCCTTTACCCAAAAATAAATTTGGCAAGGAAGAAATTTTTGTGACATTGTCTTGCCTGAGTGAAAAGTGAAAACCGAGGGTTTTTACATTATGATAATGTTAATATTGAGCTACATCAACCAATAAAAAGATGAAATGTGTACACTATAAGATTAAACAAGGAACAAAGATGAATAATAACTACATATACTACATGTCGAGTTAGTAAACCTAAAGTGACTAATTGGTAAAAGAGAAACACTCGTAGGGTATTTAGCAAAAAGGTCAATCTTGTAATAATGTTCACGATAGACCAGAGAACAAATTGTAATTGACTTTCGGAATTTCAATAGAAATAAAACAAAAATAAAAACTTCTTCATATTTTGCCAAGCGACCCATTTGTCAATTTTCTTTTAATTTCCAAATTTCATGTCTTAACCAACTTCAATCTTTCTTTTTTTTTTTAAAAAAAAAAGATGTCCTTCACTATTTGGGCTAGTCTCAATGAGTGAAAATTGTTGACTCAAATATTTTGTGAAAAATATATGAAATGCATTAAACCTTCACCTTTCACAAACACTAGTAGCTGTATTTCCAATACAATTAAGCTGCCAATAGCTCAAGTGCCCCATTAATAAGTACTTCAACAGCAAAAAGAGGGCCACATTGAAATGGAATCAAATACATATGATTCAACAAAGCACACAAACACTAGGGAAAAATTGAATCTAAGTGTTGGCAATAATCCTTATAATAATAATAATGTACAATCGCAATAAATTCGACACACCCTCCATAGTCTCGGAACATCTGCAAAATAGTACAAAATCTATGTACTTCCCTTATAATTTGCAATTTAGAAGCCCTACAAATATGTGGTTGCCTACCTATTCACCAGCTCCATTGCAAGAGTTTTGGCAAGCTTCAAACTGTCGAGCCTCTTTCCAAAATCTTCTTCATTGTTTGATGCAAGGTTTATTTGAAAGAAAAACTCCCTGTAAGCCTCCTCAACTTCTCCTAAGATCTCTGCATGTCCTGATTTTTCGTTCGAAATTCTAATGTTCGATAGCAGCTCGTTTTTCTCTCTTTTGCGTACTTCTGCTTCCAATCTTGCTGCCATTTCAATAGCACGTCTAATGCNTTATACCTCTCACGATATATGATATCCTGTCAAACGGTTAACAAAAACCCATTGATGCTTATATTTATCTACCCAATATGATTCCAATAGGTAAAATAGAAACACTCGTTATTAGGGTGTTAAGCAAGCAAAAAAGGTCGAATCTTGTAATTAAATTAACCGAGAAAAATATAGACAGCTCACCTGCGCAAGCTCCGCAACCTTAAACCCGAAACTTCTCTCAGAAACACCAGGAACAAGTTTATAAAGGTAGGTGACATCATCATGCTCCGGGTCAACGTCAAAGTCAAAGTCAACATCCATCTCTTTTTTTGGCGTCAAATAAGAGACATAGTATGGCCCCACAGAGCCCGGGAATTCATTTTTTACGTCGACTATTTCAGGATAGTGAGTCACGAACAGGACCATTGATTTCTTGTGCTGTAAAAGATAGTGCAACGTAGCATATGCAATTGCCACACCATCATGTGTGCTCGTTCCTCTCCCGAGCTCGTCTATTATGATCAATGAACGAGATGTGCTGTGCTCGAGAATTTGAGATGTCTCGGTTAATTCTTCCAAGAAAGTGCTTTTCCCAAGCTGAATGCTATCGGAGGCTCCCATTCGAGTGTAGATGCCGTCCAGCACATGCAGCCTTGCTGATGATGCCGGCACAAAGCAGCCGATCTAGTAAAATAATAAAATGAAAATCAGACAAAAAAAATGGGGAAAAACGAAAAAAGCTATTGGATATGGATTTGATTTGGTTTTGATTTTTTTTTTTTTTTTTTTTTT